CCCAAAGTCCCTCCAACGTCCTTGATTTGGAACTAGGTCTTTTAATAGGTTTTATAGTGCATGAGTGAAAGAGAGAGATGGAAAGATTTTCCACACAATCCCCACTTAAAAGGTAAGCAAGTTGCCCAAGATTATCTCTACTTAAATGACCATTGAATGCTGCTCCCCCCTCTTCACCCTTATCTTATACCGCTTCATACCCATTCACACTAACTTTTGAAAATGAGAGACACTAGCCTTTGCAAGAGAGAGAGAGAGAGAGAGAGAGACCAACATTGATTTGTAATTCATACCCATTCAGACTAGCCTTTGGAATTGAGAGAGAGGGAGAGCCACCTGCAAAAGTCAGCCTCGACCTCTCAATTTTTTGATCACGGTGAACATTTTCATCTTGATATTCACATAATTTAGTGAGCCATGCCAAATCATTGGGTCAGCTAAATGAGCATGATGTGCCTAGTGCATTCAGTGGGACTTCAACTATTGTCTATGTTCGATCCATATTAGATATGCTTATTGTTTCTTTACTTTTGGACTAGAGCAATGAGATTGTTGTATTCGGAGAGCTCTCCCAATATATAGTGTCATTCTATGTAATGACTTGAATTTTGATACTGGATAACATTCTCTTTTTTTCATGATTACATGCTCTTGTAGATCCATTTTATAACTTCTTCATTGTGAAATGAATGCAATGGTTAACATGCACTCATACGTGAAACAAGTTATCATGAAACAAGTTATCAGTATTTATGTATTCTTGGTAAAATAATGAAAATGTATCCCCATTTTTTGGGAACACAAAAAACTAGTTTTTAAGAAAATTTTAGCAAAATTTTGAATTTTGTTTAGGCCAGCCGATTCACAGGATTGGATCGCTGATTCGCCAAATTCGCATTAGTTTTTCAAACAACCGATTTGCCTTGCCAATCCTGCTTCTCAAATTGGATTCATTGGCCGAATGATCATTTCAAACCAGATTCATTAGTTTATGCATAATTGTGTGCTTAAAAAGTCTTTCCACTCTATTGAAGGTTGTCTTGGCATGTTATTTAGACCAGACTAGACCTTTCCAGGTTAGACACTTGACCAATGCCTTTGGTCACTCTGGTTTAAAAAACAATTGGTTTTTGTTAACAAACTGCTCAAATCTAGTATTTGATCAGTTTACATCAGCCAACTTTGAAACCAACTAAAGACAGTTGCGAACTATTTTATTATACATAATTCAATTTTAAGTATGATTTATTCTTGCTTTATTTTTATTAAAATTGAAGCTCCACTAATTTTACCAATGGTCAATTTGATTTTAACTAGACTAGACCCTTCACCAGTTCGACAACCGATTTGGTTATCATAACAGTGGCTTTGGGGACTGTGACAACTTTTTTTGATAATAATAATAATAATAAAACTACTTTGGTCACTTAAATTTTAGAAAAGCTTACATGTCTATCACATATAACAAATTACGTGGTAAGAAATTCTTTAATATCTCCACCTTATGAACCACGGAGAACTAGCCCCCTAAAACTATTTTTATCATCTCCATTTTAATGCAATCTTTTGTACATCGTTCCTGGTTAAAAATAACAGCTTACAAATTTGTAAAAGGATTGTATACTCTGAGAATATTTATGTTTTGTAAAAAGATGTCACAATCATTTTCAGCCATCCGATGTGAAATCCAATAGATTGCAGTATGTCACAACATTCAAAAAAATTTCTTTTGGACTATGTGCCTTAATCAACGACACATCATCATGCACTTGGTTTCATTTCCAAATGTCAATAATGATTGTAGCCGTATCTAAAGTAAGAAAAAAGTTTATATAAGGTGTCAACCTTATACTATACAGGTAAAGTGCATCTAAAAAACCTTCTAGAGAAGGTTGTTCCTATGCTGGAAAACATTCAAATCGATATCTCAACCTCGAGATTCATAAACATGAAAAAGTAGGGGTTTCTCGTTCTAAAAATAGTTCGTCCTCTAACACATTATCTGGACCATCTGTTTTCAAGATTTTTAAGTGTGCATAGATCTACTTGATCATCACTATTTCTAGAAGTTTAAATTTCATAATTGAGTGCCACAATAGATTTTCATATAATCGCAAGGCTTTGCGGCACCAAAACTGCATTTTCAACGTAGTTTTGAGATGCACCTTATTTCATTAGTATAAGGTTCACACCTTATACAAACCTCACCCCTAAAGTAAATGATCTCATTGTATACATTTCCATCTCTAAAACATGTTAATAAACTTGTTGTAGGGGTAACTAGTTGAGATAACATTTAATGAGCTTATTTTAGGGGTAACTACTTCTTTTGGGGGGGCGGCGGAGGGGGGGGGGGGGGGGGGGTGGAGTTCGTGTTGAATAATTAATTTGATGCATATATTAAGAGTAGAATAAATGATGTGAGAAATTATTTATGTGGAGGAAGCTACTTTTCTATGCAAAAAGTAAATGGAGGAAAACGAAAGGCCGCTACCCCATATGTTCGTGGCATTATGCAAGTGACTTAAGTTGAGGGAAAATTACAAAAACCACTCTTGACTCAACTTTCTTCATGGTCTAACCAATCAATTTTTTTTTTTTTTATAATATTTATCTCAAAACAAATTTTTTTAGCAAAATACCCCAAGCCAAAAAGTTATAGGTTTTAAGACCAAACTTCTAACACCGAGTACTTAACTTTTCTCATAACACACAAAAAGGCCGTCTGTCAGTATAAACAAGCGGTCTTGCAATATCCCAAAGTAATCTGGCACTAATAAAGAATGGTCCTGTAATAGGTCCATGCAGTCCGGCATTACCAAAGAGCATACCGACAATAGGCCAACGTGGTCCGACAATAGGTCCAAAGTGCGGTTCGACAATATCAAATAGTTGTCCGTCACTTTTTTTAGTTTAACAAGGTCCGACAATTGGTACATGGCAATACAGAAGCCCTTGTAGCTTTTGGAACTGTGCGTAAGCCCACGTGAATGTCCGTCCAAAATTATTTTTTTATGTACACAAAAGGGTATTTTTTTCAAAAAAAAGTGTATTTTTTTTACTTGAGGTATTTATTAGGAAAGTATATTTTTGGGTAAACAGTGAAAAGAAAAAATTTGGTTGCGAGTCAGTTGCATAAAAAAATCTATTCTTTGAGGTTATTTATAAATTTCCCTTAAAGTTTGTTTTTTATTTTATAACAAATTTTCCGAGTATTACTCATGAAACATCTCATGCATGCAAAGTCAAGTCAAAAGATTCTATGTTACTGCGGGTGTGTTGTTCCAGTCATTCTCTCGTGTAAAATAGAGTGGTTTTTACACTCTTGAATTGTGACTTTTTCGATCTGAGCTCAAAATTTGAGTTTGTTTAGACATTTATGCTTATGTTCCTTCTTTTTCGGAATTAAAAATCTACGCCATATATTCCAAATTATGCGCGTCTCAACTTTACGGTTTTTTTTTCCCAAAATATCATTAGTTCATATCCAAAATCTGAAACAAAACTACTAACAAATTGGTTCGGAAATTGAAAATTTGAACTTGTTTTATGTGAACCAACAGATTCGGAAGGACTTATTTGATAGAGGGAGAAGCGATTGAGTTAAGTTGGTGAGGAGGGTTTTGAATTTTGAAATTACAAATCCAAAACTCAAATAACTCCACTCGGATTTTCAAAATCCAAACCGATTGGTTAACAAAAGAATTAGTTTGAAATTTTAATTTTCAAACAAATTATTTGGTTCGGATGTTGAAAGTTTGAAATAATAAAATTTTGAAAAAATAAAAAATACAAAAAAAATGAATATGAGCATAAATTATAACATGTATGAGATATATTTTAATTCTGAAAAAATTGGGGGATGTCAGCAAAAATTTCCTATTTTTTGCCTAAATTAATCGTTAATATCAAAATTTCAGATGGAAAATCTTTTGAGTAATATACATATATATAATTGCGGGAGCAGAGAATTTTACCAAACTTGAAAAACTGGAAATAAAGCCAAAAAAAAAAAAAGAAAGAAAAAAGAAGAAGTTAAGTTAGTGGGGATTTGAGCCTCTAGAATGGAATCATGGGAAAAAAAAAAATTCAAAGCTTTTACCAAAAAAAAGAAAAAAGAAAAAAAAAAGAAAAAAGAAAAAAAAGAAGTCATAGGAAAAAAAAAAATTCAAAGGTTTTACCAAAAAAAAAAAAAAGAAAAAAAAAAGAAAAAAGAAAAAAAAGAAGGTAAGTGGGGATTTGAGCCTCAAGAATAGAGTCACAGGAAAAAAAAAATTCTTAGCTCGAGTTGTGAGATTACAGGGTAAGTCGCATATGACAAAGAAAAGAAAGGTGCTTCTATTTTATCTTTTTTGGAGCATGTATGCTCCCTTGGGAGGATATTATATATTTACTCCTCAAGCAAAGCACAAACTTAAGATTTTTTTGTTTTTATTTGAAATTTTGGGATTCATTTAATTATTACTAAGTTTTTTAAACGAAAATTTCAATTTTGGGTTCTTGATTAATAGGGACCCTTGGACCTGAGACTTGATAGGTAGACCCAAGTCCAAGTATGGGTCCCAGGGTTGGACATGATAGGTTGAGTCCAGGTCCAATAACTTGGACTCAATTGGGGTTCGAGTCCTAGCCGCTTCAGATCCGGGTTCGGCTCTAGCTTCAGGTAGTTCATATCTTTATATTTTGAGTTAAATATATATTTTTTAATATAAAAATTGATTTCAAATCGAACCGGGCCTGTTACCACACCTATTCTTGAAATCTAGATCATTCGCCCTAAAAATTAGACGGCTCCACTGCAATCTTGGGATGCTGTTTTTTTGGCACATAGGGAGTGAGAGTCATTTTGTTTTTCTCTTTAGGTTGGTTGCCAATTTCCCATCTAAAAGATATTCCAAGGGAGTAGATAGATAATATACTACCGCGGAAGCAGGAAATAAATTTTTTTTTGGTATATATAAAATGAGGTTGTTCATACATTGTAGGAAAGAGGAGAATTAATTAAAAGGGGCCGTTGGATAGCCCAAATTGGTTCCGAACTCTTCCAAGGGGGGAGCTCTGCTCGCTTTGCTTGGTGCAGAAGTTTCTCCGTACATTCTTCTTCTCTCTTCTTTTCCTGTTTCTTTTGTGTGCAGGAGCTTCTCATCATTTACTGTTTCTGTTTGTTTGCAGGAGCTTCTCATCATTGTATTTTCTTCCTTGCAGTCCTCTCTCTCTCTAATTTTATAATTCGTTCCTTTAGGGTGTGTTCAAAACGTTTGCTTGTGTGAAATCATTGTCTATTCTTCCTTACAGTCTCTCTCTCTCTCTCTCTCTCTCTCTCCCTCTCTAATTTTATAATTCATTCCTTTAGGGTGTTTTGAAAACGTTTGCTTGTGTGAAATTGCCTTGCGGGCTCAAGCAATCTCTCTCTCGCTGTTTTTTGGTGTTTGGGAAATCTATTTTTCTCCAAGGAAGAAGAATGGGAGGGAGAGAATTCGGCTTTGTAGGGCTTTCTTGCAAGTAAAGTTATTGGTTTTTTTTCTATCGTCTTTGAGGTGTTCTGAACTGGTTTATATCAAAGCAGATCAAAGGGGGTTCTGATCTTTTTTGTGAATTTGGGTTTTGCTCAGTGTGTTGAAATTTTCCTTTTGCATAAAACCCTTCAATCTCTTCCCTTCCTCAGTATAATAACTCAGATTGTCTTCAAATTCGGCAAATTGATTCACAAATTGTGCAAATTATTGATTTGGGTTCACGATGAGTTGCATTGAGACAGTGGAATCAAGGCCACCTGCAGGGCTCATAGTTCATGTTGCAGAGAATGGGCATAGTTTCGAGCTCAACTGCACTGAAGAAGACTCTGTTGACGCAGTTCAGAGATGCTTAGAAACCCTATGCCAAATCCAATTCAATGACCAGTTGTTGCTTTGTGGAGACATGAAGCTGGAATCTCACAGGCCCTTATCTTTCTACAAGCTCCTCGGCAATGGCCGAGATGTTTTTCTTTACAATCGAGCCAGACTTATACCTGACTGCCCTCTCCCTTCTCCAGAAGAAATTAATTTTCTAGAACCCACTGAACTCCCCTCACCTTCTTCTTTGCAAGACCCCCACCCGCTGGACGATGCTGTGGACCCTGCGCTTAAAGCTCTCTCCTCTTATGAGAGACAGTTCCGATATCATTTTCAGAGAGGCCACGCCATTTATGTATCCACCCAATCGAAATTTGAGGCCTGTAAAAGGCTTCTCAGACAGCAAAAGGTTCAGGAAAGGGCTTTCGAGACAGCTCGAGGAAACATGGATCACTATTATCGAATGATAAACCAGACTTATGTGGAATTTATGAAACACTTCTCTCGGCAACATCGTCACCATTCTGATCTTCTCTTGAATTTTGATAAGGATATTGAGAAGCTGCGGTCTATTAAGCTTCATCCTGCTTTACAAACTGGGTCCCTAAGGTGCTTGCTTGATTTTATATGTGAAGATAACTTGCGAAAATTGGCAAGCAATTGTGCTGTGTCTCACAGGCAATTTCAAGTGAAGGTGTCGCATCTCAAGGGGATGTATAATGACTTGGCTCAAGGGGTTGATAGATTGTTCTCAATGAAAGCTCCGGTTGGGATTAGAGATGTGGAGCTTATGATTAAGGAGTATCAGCAGTATCTTGATGAGCAAACGAGTATAATGCAGTCGCTGAGGTTGGTTTCTTACCTTCTTCCTTATCTTTTTGTTTTGAACCACTTAATTGATTGGCATTGGTTTGGATATGTTTATTGCTAGTCTGGTCATAGGGAGGATTTTTGAGATATGAGGTCTCTTAGTCTGGGAAGAACATAAAATTTTCCTCTTAAATAAGTGTTCAACTCTATTTCCATGAATCAAAAAATGGGTTTACATGTGTAATTTCTTCAACAAAATGTCGCTCTTCCAGTAAATAAATACAGACGATCAATACTATAAAACTACCAAAGAGGTTTTGGTTACACCTTCCCTTGCCAACCTGCTCATCACCCTTTCTTCATACATGAATAGAAGACATCCTGATTCTGCTAACAATGTCAAAAATTTTCCTCAAATATGATTGCATGTCTCCAAGGATATTCTGTATCGTTACTGGTTCTTCGGATTTCATTCTCCAAATCCCCCTCTATTACAATTGAACTCCAACTTGGCCTCATGGCTCTCAACCATCAAAGGGAGCTCGTGCTTCCTCCTCACTTGATTGATTACAAGCGTAATGGCCCTGACAATATCATAAGTGTTTACCTTCATGATCTCGAACAACCCTTCTGATACCTTCCTTGGCTGGATTGCTGATTGATCTTCCATCGGAGTAAATTTGAAAGTCTGATATAGAACCACCCCAAAATACTTTATTTACCCTTGCCCAAGGAATAATAGTTACCCTTGTCTTACCAATTAACTATTCAATTTAATGTTCCTCTAACCTCAAAGAGCCTACCATTCCTCTCTAACTATATCGACCATGTAATAGCCATAAGAGTCATTCTGCATGGTTGTTTGTTGATTTCTGTATTACATTAACAAGCATTATGACTCAAGAAAGGCACAAACACCCTGCCCTGCAAGGTCTATATCCTTGATTAGAGCTTTATTTTATTTTTTAAATTTTCTGGATTGTCGGTTCCAAGCCCAAGGCATCCGTGGACCCTGTCAACGAATGAATTTTTTTAAAATTTTTATTTTGAGTTTTTTATTATAATAAAAGTACAAATGCCATCCCTTACCATTGCAAGGCTTGAACCTAGGAGATCTTATGCATGAATCACCGCGCTAGCGAAAAGCCACTTTGATATAGTAGCAACAAGTGTGCATAAGTTTATATATAACCAATGGTATTTAAAATCGACATGACAAATAAGCGGCTGACGGGATTTGATCCCACGACCTCTTAGGTGGGCCATTTAACTAAGCCATGACTTCTACCACCACGACGCTCGGTGGTATATGTTCAAATATAGGAAGTTATTACATGTAATATTGTTAAACATATCAGCTGTGCGGATGTGTTGGGAAGTACTCACATTTTGGCTTTGCGTATTAGATACTCCGACATGTACTAGATACTAACACGTGGTTAGCATCTCATCTACTGCACTTGTGAGATCCTCATGCCTTGTCTCCTCTGTTCTGTTGTTTCTGCATGTTGTTTCATGCTTCCTTATTTTATAGATGTTTATATCAGGCAGTTATATGATCGTGCCTAGTAATTGTGTCTGTCGTGGTGTGTATTGTGGTAGTTGGTCTTATGGAGATTATGTCTTGACATGTGTCATTCATCAACAAATAATGCTCCTCATAGGGCCACGTATCATCCAGATAAGTTGAAGTGGGATCTCATCTATCAATTCTGAAGTTCGATGTAAGCTTGACGCCTCACGTGTTGATAAAGGTCTCCTAGTGAAAAGTATTCCTTTCAAGTATTTCATCGGAACTTATGTGAAAGTTGGTATCTTTGACTCAATTTCTTTTTAAGCATCTAAGAGTGCTTGTAATTAGGCTTCATGACTTATTCTTTGAATGGTCATAGGTCTAGGTAATATTAGCGATAGTGTTTTAGTAGTTGATAACATATCTTTGAGGTATAAAGGGAAGAGAACTTCTCTCATTTGCCGGAGTGTCTTTAATGAGAAAAGGACTCTTTTAATTATCCAAAAAAAATGAATCTTTTAATTTGTCGGAGCATAAAGATAAAGGTGGAAGAAAGGATTCACTAGAGTGATCCAAACATATAAGGAAAAAAGGGCCGGTTCCATCAGTTGACGAAGATAACAAGGGGCATTGAAAGAAGCATTGCTGCCGGACTATATTTACTATATATGCTGAGCAGCATGTAACACTCAACATACCGTCCTTGCCATGCACGGATGCAACTGACTAACCCTAGGGAAATATGGAAGGGATCTCTAGTCTTTTTTAGAATGGGCCACCGTTGAAGTTTGAGCAGGTGTCAAAATATGGCACTAGATAAATGTTTCTCCAATATTTTCAAGCACAACCCTCTGAATATTTAAAAGTTTTTAAAACACAGGGCCATACCTTGAGAGCCACGTTCCAATATAAAAATAGATGACTTACTAATTCGGCTTCAGCACCACATTCCGCATCTGTTGGGCACTGTAACCCCTCTAGTTCTAAGATGAACAGTGTTTAGGACTTTATCAAGGACAACTAACCACCCAAGACTTGGGTCTTGGGGGGGTAGGTGAATCCCACACTTCACGAGCAATTGATACATGGGTGGAGTTCCATGTAAGCACCTTATAAAACTGATTCACCTAGACTTTTCCTTTAACATATGGGATCCAAAGCAATCAATCCTTCCTTCCTGACCCGTAGAAGAAGAATACAATGCGTTTACCAAATCAGTAAAGGCCACATTCTCCTTTTCTTTGAGAAATCTAAACAACATGAGGTCTGGAGCCTTGAACAACACATGGTACAGTTTCATCTACTTCAATTGCCAATGTAAAGAGGGATGGGTAGACTGCACAGATAGTCTCTTTGAGAAGTTACTTTTCTCCAAAACATGCGCCATTGTCCCTTGTACCCACTTGCATTTGTATTTGTAAAAAAGGTGTTCTTAACTTGAGTGACTACTTTCCAAACACTGGACGTTGCTTCTTTGCTCGTCATACTGCTCACTTTTGTTCCAAATTCGCCAATCGTTTGTTTTAAAGGCAACGACATTATTTGTCAATAGTTCACCTCAGATGATGGCTGACTGAACCTCCACTACCATTTCCCTTTCAAATCTTGATTAGTTTCTCTTAAAAACAGAGTGCGCTAGCTTGATTAGTTCCCTGTGATTGGGCCATTTATACTAGGCTCCTTGCAAAGGGATATTTATCAGATCATTCCAGGTGATGAATGCTTATAACCCTCATACTCATGGTCCTCCTTCCACCAGTGCTTTTTCATAAACTCATGGAACTACATTGTGGTCTCTTGCCAAATGCCCAGATGCATCCCTTCACCTTTTCTGCAAACCTTTCCTTTCTAAACCACACCATAGTTGAAATGATTCTCAATCTAGTAATGAATCAGAGCTTTTTCTTTATCTAGGGTTTGAAGAAGCTCTCTAGCTTTGGCAAGTTATCTTTGCGGCTTTTTATATTTTCTAGGATTTGGATTTTCCAAGTTCCCTTTCACTGGATTTCTGAGCATGAGCAAGGGTGTGTGTGTGTGTGTGTGTGAGAGAGAGAGAGAGAGAGAGAGAGAGAGAGAGAGTAGTAATTTATTAGTAATTTATTAATGATCTCTCTTCCTTTCAAATTTGTTACTGGAACTCTTTGTCCATTAATAGCGTTCACTTTCTTTCTTTTAGTTTTGCATTATTTTTTGTGCATATAATCTTTTCTTTCATGTGGCTTTCAAAACTGTCCAACTCCACCCCTTGGCTCCCCTTGGCTCCCCATGGTTGTTCTAATCTCACTCTGCATGTGCTCACTAGTCAACCTTTCTTTCTTTCGAATAAGTTGATGGAACTTCGAGATGTATTATTTCATGGATATTGAATTAAATCATCATCATCATTGTCAAAGACTTTTCCCAATTAAGTGGGGTCGGCTACATGACTTCTGATCCGCCATTCTACCCTCAGTGTGGCCATAAGTTCCCATATGTTTTCTCACTACTTCCAACCATGTCTTTTTGAGCATATCCCTTGCCCTTTTTGGGCCTTCCATTTGAACTAACTCGCACCTCCTAACAGGTGCTGTACTGGGTTTGCGCCACACATTGCCAACCCAACTAAATCTACTTTCTCTCATCTTATCGCCTATTGGTGCCACAACTAAATTTTTTTGAATGTATTCATTTCGAATTCTATCCCTTGTATTTCCACTCATTCATCTCAAAATCCTCATTTTCGCTACACTCATTCTATGGGTATATTGTTTTTTGACTGGCCAATATTTCACTCTATAGTGCAAAGGTGGTCTCACAGTTGTCCTATAGAACTTGCCCTTCAGCTTCATTGGTATGCGGGGATCACATAAAATTCTGGTTGCACATCTCCATTTCAATTAGATAATTTCATAAATTAGAAACTCTGGATGTGGGATGCTGAAAATAGTTCCTATTATGCATTCTTTGATGTTGGTTTGATGGATTAATTATGACTATTGGGATTGTTAATTTTTCTTTGCTTTCCCTTTGGGGCAACTTTTCCACTAATATGGGTTCAAATCAATAAGTTGTAAGTTGAGTATCAGTATCATTGATTTTATTTGTATAGCGTACCAAATCCCATGAATCTAGTGACTTATTTGGATTACTAGACGACACCTAAGGCGTACAATAAATATTGATGAGAAACAATAAAAGTAGGCGATCTCGCTAAATTCATTCAAGCATTTCCTTCAAAAAACCTGTGCCATAATACGTTTCTCTCTCTAGATTCAAAGCTTTCCCCTCTCTTCCCTTCTTCAAGCTTTTCCTTCAAAGAAATATCACAACTATATACCATATATTTATTTTATTTAATCATTTTATTATTATACTATTCATCTTCCACCTTAGACTTAGACTTCTTAATTAAATAAATCCTTATTTTATTTCTGCAACTAATTTGATACCCGAATTTAGCCAAATAAATGTTTTATCTATACCAAATATTTTCGTCCATATTCATAAAATATTTCTTCCCTTACGTTCTCTTCAATCCTTTTTCCATTCCAAAAAATATTATTGTTTTCTTATAAATTGACTATTTTTCTATCGTAGTTTAATCTTTTCTCCAATGAGTTTTCACTGACAGTACCTCTTTTTCTTAGTTATGGACAACTTACTTAGGAAACTTCAAGACGAGGTACCGTGGTGTATGTTGTTCGTGGATGGCATAATTTTGATCGATGTGACCCGAAGCAACGTCAACACAAAGTTAGAACTTTGGAGGATGCTCTAGAATCTAAAAGTTTTAAAATTAGTTGGATTAAGACAGAGTATGTGGAATGCAAGCTAGTAATAATAGGAGTAGAGACGAGGAAGTAGTTAAGATTGACGGCCAAGAAATACCAAAAAGAGCGAATTTTTGATATCTTGGGTCGATATTCTAGGAAAACATAGAGATTGAGGAAGATGTCATAAATAGGATTAGGGTTGGGTGGGCGAGGTGGAGATGTGCGACCGGAGTTTTATGTGATTGCCGCATACTAATGAAGCTGAAGGGCAAATTCTATAGGACAAGTGTGAGACCAGCTTTGCTTTGTAGGGCAGAATGTTAGGCGATCAAGAAATAACATATCCATAGGATGAGTGTAACTGAGATGAGGATGTTCAGATGATGGATGAGTAGCAATACAAGGAGTAGAACTTGAAATAAATACATTCGCGATAACTTAGGTGTGGCTCCAATAGGTGATAAGATGAGAGAAAGTAGACTTAGGTGAGCTAGGCATGTGCACCGTAGACTCAGTACAACACCTGTTAGGAGGTGCGAGTTGATTCAAGTGGAAGGCTCAAAAAGGTTAAAAGGTAGGCCCAAAAGGACATGGTTGGAAGTAGTGAGAAAAGATGTGACGAGTTATGGCCTCACTTAGGGTATGACTCTTGTAGAGCAGAATGGCGGACTATGATTTGTGTAGCTGACCCCAAATAGTTCGGAAAAGGCTCTGATGATGATGAGTTTTATCTTTTCTCCGTTCCCAGAACAATTTTTTTTTTTTTATTCTCTATTTGACTATAAAATGAATGTAATGGATAACAAACACTTAGGCATGATAAATGTTCTCAGTATTTACATATTTTTGTTAAAATAATGAAAAACCATACTATGGTGGCAGGTTTTTTTGTTTTGTTTTGTTTTGGAAGTCCAAAAAACCTAGATTTTAAAGAAATTTAGTAATTTTTTGAAATATTTTTAAGGACGAAACTGGCTGATCCGGCCTATTCTTCGATCCACCGATCTGACCCTGTTTTCAAGGTGGCTGATCTAGGTCACGGATCCGTTTTTTAAGCCTTGATTTGATGTATTAACTAACAATAAAGTGAAACTTTTCTCTATATAAAATCAGTTACTGTCAATGGTTACAGGAAATAGAAGTCAAATGAAAGAAAGAGTTCAACAAGGAAATGAAACAAAGCCAAAAAGTATGAAGGAGTTCCTTCACTGAAATAAAACCCTCATAAACTTTATTAGTAAGCTTTCTTTCTGTTAAAAATGGAAGCCCAACTTATTTGTCAAATTAACCAGGGTCTTCCCCTGCTCATGGGTGGAGAAAGCTACCTATGCAAACCCCTAAAGCCCATACACCAATTCCCCAAATTGCATACTCCCAATGTTTGAACATCGCTCCTATTTCATGAAGTTAAGAATCAAAGAAAGGAAATGCGTAGAGGAAGAATCCATTCCAATTCATTAAAAGCGTGAATACAATGCCAAAAGAATTGCATGTTCTGTTTCCAAAGTAAGCATACTCCTATGTATTGAAATTCCTAGAAATAACCCAGTCTAGGAGTTGTGCATTACTAAGAGTCATAGAATTGAAATTTTTGCTAATGATCATAGTGACCCAAGAAAAGTGAATATGTTGATGACATTGAGTCTAGGGTGTGGAGGGATTATATTATTGTACAGTTTATACAGGTTGAAATTACAATTGAGATAGAAGATGATTACAAGTGAGAAGATGAAGCAAAAGGGTGGCATTTAAGCGGGCAATAGGTTATTGTATTGATATTGAAGCCAAATTTATGTTTTTGGTCAGCACTGAGCAGCTGACTCTCATTTGTAAAGTATGAGTGGGGGAGTTGTATTGTAATGATTAATTTTCATGTTTTATCTTCATTGTATGATTGGCTACCAGGTTTAGAACCTCTCTGCAAACTATGTGCTTCGAAAAGTAGCTGCTATGAAAGATTGTTTGAGTAAGCTTACTTGAGGGTATAGGAAGAGGGGTCCAAAGTTTTTGGATTTAGTTGCCAAAGCAGAGTTCAATTAGGGATTTGAGAAGGAGAGCTAGGGGAGGATTGGCTGAAAATTCTGGGATTCTATACAGTGAGGCATCCTTGCAAGCACTTGCTTGGGCAAACTTCTAAATCAGCGATATAATAATTTATTTCCACAACTGAAATATTTTTTTATTAAATAACAGAAATATAAGAGTTGACAATCTCTCTAGTAACTTATGTTCTAATTGTGTGAGTGAAAATTGCAAAGTTTAAAGTTAACTTATTATTTAAAATTGTGCTAAAAGAGAGAAATTATGCATGCATGGGAATGGTTTATCAACATTGAAGTTCTTCTATTCATAAATAAATCATTAAAGTGCCACTCTCTATACATAGATATTAGATCAAGTTGATAACCTTTTATAGGAATTCATATCCAAACCTTGTTAGATTACAAAAATATGATAGATTATGCATTGCTATAAGGAGCCTAGGAATAATACTTAAAAGTGATATGGTATACATAGTGTACAGCTTTCTAACTTTTCATAGCTATGAAAGCCATATGGTACATGTTCATGAATGGGTGGCTTGCAAAACCTTCATATATACTATAACCTCTGTGTTCTAGATTTCAAATAAATATTTAGAAGTTAAAAGTCATAAGTATGCATAGTGACAGTGTACATTATGAATACATAGTGTACATGGTCTACTTTGGAATACTATTTAAACAATATAGTAGTTTCTGGTATTGCTTAAATAATACTAAAGAATAATACTTACATAATACATTTAAACGGCAATAATGCTAAAGAATAATACTTAATACATTTAAAAGGTATTTAGACAATAGTATTTATCAAATAATGGAGTGATGTCGTTTTTGGTACTTATCATTGACTATTAGAGAGTGTAATATGTCGGATTGTAAATTATCACTAGATCACCTATTTTAGTAAAAAATTGTTTTCCTAACCCAGATGGTCTGGATGTTAATCCACCTCGAGTTTCACCTGCCAAGCAAGTTTACAGAGCATCTTATGAATAACCTGGAATCTCAATACTTACCAAAAGCCAAAAGACAGTCTCAACTCTGTGTTCTGATTCTTTTTATCAAATGAAACACAATCTTAGAAGGCCAAACTTACACGCTTTGGAGCTTTAGTGGTATGGTTCTTCCATCTCACCCAACCTGCATGGAATTTTCTTTAGCAATTGCTGCAGGTGCCCTGAGAATGCTGGTGAAAAAGACATTCTTCTTCTCATTGAACCTCTGTCTATTCTTGTGGTTGGTCTTTTGAGTTCAATTTTACATCCACCTGTAACCAACATTTTGCTTTTGATGACAGAGTGATACTAATTCTCTTGTCCATTTTTGTCACTGCTTCCTACCAGCATGGTTGGGAATCAGGTTTCACACTTATCTAATAGAAAAAGGCCACGTTCTAAGATGGATTTTGGCTCATGAGTTGAAAATATTGAACCTAGAAGAGGTCGATGAGACCCAGTGATGCCACAACACCCAAACCTGTTGATGGGCAATTGAGTACCAGTAGACTTACAAGGAGGCACCATAAGAAACACGTCTACATTTTGGTTGTTTTAAAAACTCAATGTAATGGGACTAACAAAAATGCTATCCTTGATTAATAATCTGTCTTCATCATTTGACTTGTATTCTACTGTATGGTGCCTGTTTTATGTGATTTATTTTCCACAATAGGGACTAACAAAAATGCGTTCCTTGATTAATAATCTGTCTTCATCATTTAGCTAATATTCTTCTGTATGCTGCATGTTTCTTGATTTATTTTCCACTTTTGTGGAAGGCTTGTTATTGGGTGAAATGTCCTTACTCTCGCTGGACTTTCCAATTCTGCAAGTGCTTTAATTTTGCATTTATCCCCATACACACGCACACAGAGGAATATGACTGCATGAAATTCCTTCGTCTATACATCTCAAAACTTCAAGTCTCGGGTTCATGCTCATTTATTATTGTCTGGGTATCTTGTATAGCCTTGCTTGGATTTACTTCACAATTTTTTCTTCACTATGCCACAGTTTCAAATTTTTTTACTCTTCCTTGTTTTTTCTTTTCTGAAAACCTAGTTGCATCTTTTGTTGGGATTTGATTTTCTTTTATCAGTATAATTTATTTTTTAAAGCATTATGCTGATTGTTACTCTTGTATGCCACAGCAAAGATGTCAACACTGTGAAGAAGCTGGTGGATGACTGTGTAAGTTCCCAAGTGTCTGCCTCTGATGCCGTTTCAGCCCTTGGTCGAATGTATAATGTCCATGAGAAAAATCACCTTCCCAGGATGCATGCATGCCATCGTGAAAATAAAAAGCTACTAGACTTTTGCAAGATCAAAAAGGATGAAATGAATTTGTTTGTGCATCGTAATATGCAGACTGTTGCACATCTTCAGTCTTGTACCAGGGATATTCGCATGCAGCTTCCAGCTTTCAAAGAAGCAATGACTCGACAAGATGGTAGCTTTGCAGATCTGAGATTGCTTCGAAGGATTGGACCCGCTTATCGAGTTTGCCTCGCTGAAGTGGTGAGGAGGAAGGCTTCAATGAAACTTTACATGGGTCAAGCTGGGCAGATGGCAGAAAAGCTTGCTAGGAAGAGGGAAGACGAGGTTAGGCGGAGAGAGGAATTCTTGAAGGTGCAGAGTGTTTGTATACCTCGTGATATTTTAGCATCCATGGGTCTCTTTGATTCTCCAAGTCAATGTGATGTTAACATAACCCCCTTTGATACAAATTTGCTGGACATTGATATAACAGACATAGACCGTTATGCTCCCGAGTCATTGGTTGGATTGTCAGTGAAAGTTGATAAGCCTATATCCTCCACTAAGGGATCATTTTCTGGTTCATATGGGAGCTGCAATTCATTAGAAGTTGAGGAAAGTCCTTCAACTATTGATGGCAAAGATGCACATGAAGAGCTCTTCGATGAATCTGAGTCTATTGAGATTGCGGGAACAAGCAAATTGGAAGTTGAGAATGCTCGGTTGAAAGCAGAACTTGCTTCGGCTTTAGCTTTAGTTTGCTCTTATGGCACTGACATTGATTACGATACGTTTGACGATAGTAAGCTTGATAGTATTCTGAAGGAGAATGCGGAGAGGACTGCCGAAGCGTTGCGCCTGAAGGATGAATATTGTAAACACTTCCAAGACATGCTCAAGGTGAAGCAGATGCAGTGTATTACTTATGAAAAACGTATACAGGAGTTGGAGCAAAGGTTGTCTGATCAGTATATGCAGCAGCAAAAGATCTCATCAGGTGGTAAGGAAGTTTCAGTCTCTGCCCTTTCAGCTTTGAAGACTGAAGATTGCAAATCTGAGGTATGTGGGGATGCTGAGGTACATGCACCTTATGTTCCTCCTGAGCCTATGGATGAGGTTTCTTCTTCACCGGCAGCCTTGGATCCCAAAGAAGAACATTCAACTGTAGAGATGAGTGGTAAAGACCAGGAAGGTTTAGATGAAAGCATGACGGATCTTTTGGGCATCCATTTGCAACCAGTTGAACCTGTACCCAACTCTTTGGATGCATCTATGTTGGAGCCTCAAAGAGACGAGCAACATATAGATTGTGGATCTGGTAAAGAGAAAGAAAAAAGGGTGATAGAAACTGTGCAAGATCCTCTAAACACCATACCTTGCAGAACTAATACGGCTCTGGAGTCTGGTTTACTCCTAAAAAATAAGGAAGACCTCGTGGTAGTGCTTGAGAGTGCTTTATCGGACAAGTCAAATGAGTGCGATGAGACTCAATCTAAATTAGAAGCTGCTATGGAGGAAATAGTCTCACTGAGGAGAGAACTGGAGGCCAGTATAAAGCTTTTGGATGAATCTCAGGTACGTTTGTTTAAATTATGTTCATTTGTTTCCAGCGATAGATGTGCAAAGCTACTGTTCTCATTCGTTCTAACTTTTTGAGATGATATTTAAACTGTGTTCAGTTCTTCCGTAGTCTAATATTTGGTTTCTTAAATTTGCTACTCTTGAAATCTTCATCTATGATATGTCACATTATATCTTTTGACTTACTGGTCTCTTAACAAAATCTGCATCAACAATACAACAATGTCTAGTTCTTTTGTTTAGAGTGTAGTAAATGAGTTACATGCATGCCCTTTCTATTGCTTGGCACTTCAGTTTAGATGAATTGTGCTCTGAAAGTTGAAGATTCGTCCTCGCTTTTTACCAGATGATTGTGATTCATGAGTGTGATGGAGATCAGAGCACAAGTAACCACGAGTATCTTCTATGGGAGCGACAGATTCCTCCTAATTTTCACTCATATTTGGAGGATGAAAACCCTTGGAGGGCTTCTAAGAAGAACAAGTGGAGCAAGAAATAGTTTTGGTTTTTTTTAGTTTTTAAGGCTATTTTAGATTTATTTATTTCATTGCTGGACCAGTTAGGGACTTTTTAGTTATTTTAATTAAAGTTAAGGAGTTTAATTTCAAGTTATGTTTAAGTTAGGACCTTTTGGTCAAAAGTTAAATTGTATGGACAAATATTGTCCAAAACAATAATTTTTCAATATAAATAAGGGCATGGATGGGCTGGAGAGTCATTCATGTATTCCTCTTAAGAAAAGAAAGATTTTGTCTTGTAAAAGAAGCCTAAGGATTGAGCCCTAGGTGGGAATAAACCCTAGGGTTTCTCCAAAATTGTGTGCTTCTTGTTGATTTTTCACTTGATGCAGGGAAATTAAATCCACCGTTCTCCTGAACTTTAAACATGTAAAATCAGCAAGAAGAGAGAAAAAACATGACTGTAAATCAAGCCAAGAGAAAAAATTTCTTCTTTCATAAAATGACATTTATTTCATAAAATTTCTACATGTATTTCTCTTAAGAAAAAAAAGACTTTGTCTTGTAAAAGAAGCCTAAGGATTGAGCCCTAGGTGCGAGTAAACCCTAGGGTTTCTTCAAAATTGTGTGCTTCTTGCAAATTTTTCTTGGTTTCTTCGAGTTCTCCTGCATCAAGTGGTATAAGAGCCCACGATCCTCGATCCACACAAAAGCACTGTAGCAATGTATAGAAAGCACTGTAGCAATGTACGGAACAGCGCTGTAGCGAAGACCTTTTGTGCCCTAGCTCGACAACAAAGAGGCTAAAGTTGAATTAGGGTCTCTGGTTTGCTGATTTTGGCAAAAGTTTGCCAAAAAACAATCTAGATCTTACTCTTTGTTGATTAATTGCCTATGGTTTGTGATTTCAGCGAACCCTTGGTAGCGAGAAGGGGCTGTAAAATGGGTATTTTCGTGGATCTGCTCTGTGATCCTAGAGATGAGAGAATTGAGGAACTTGAAAGATACGTTCAGCTGCTGACACAACAATTTGCAACCCTCAATAATGGGTAAGATGGTAATCTTTCAGCCCAAGAGGATCTCGAATACAACCCTTTTCACTATCATGCTCTGCATGTGGAGTCGACAAATGAGGATAGCGACCGGAGACCTAGACATGGGGTGCGTTTCTCTATGGATGTCGATTTGATGGTGGATATACCTGATTTTGATAGTACCGAGGAGTTTATAGATTGGTTAAATATCGTAGAAAGGGTTTTTGATTATAAGGAGGTACTTAAAAATAAAAGGGTAAAAATTATTACCATAAAATTGAGAAAAGGTGGTTCGGCATGGTGGGAACAACTTTAGGCTAGAAGAGAGAGGATGGGAAAGCCCAAAATTACTACATGGAGAAAATGAAAAAGAAATTAAAAGAAAAATACTTGTCTGAAAATTATTTGCAATTCCTCTATCACAAGATGAATAATCTTCATCAAGGTGAAAAGAATGTAGAGGAATATACCGATGAATTTTATGAGTTGATGGCTCGCAGTGATGTGGTTGAAAGGGAAGAACAGTCCTTAGCTAGTAGCTATAATACAAGATGTAGTGGTTTTACAATGGTCTTGGATCCTCGATAAGGCTTTCAATCTCGCAGTTAAAGTTGAAGCTCAGCTAAGGCATCTATCATCAAGGTGGTTTGCAAGCCAGGGTAGCCCAAGTGGCCGTGGAAGTGAATTTAAGGGAATAGATGGAAATGTAATGGGTGGACAGTCCTCACGGCCTGCTGGTCCTTCAAAACAGTAGAAAACTATGGCTGTTGGGGCTGGTTCTAGTCGCCCAAATCGCCCAAACAGCAGCACCATAAATGCTTTAAGTGTTCGGGGATTGGACATGTCTCTTCGCAGTGCCCGAATAGAAAATTTGTGGTCCTTGCTATGGAGGTTTTCGAGGACGACAGCAAACCATCTTTTGATGGGGACCTTATTTATGATGGAGAGCCTGAGGGCCTGCTTGTCCATCAAAACAGTAGAAAATTGTGGCTGTTGGGGCTGGTTCTGGTCCCCCAAATCGCTGAAACAGCGGCACCTTAAAATGCTTTAAGTGTTCGGGGATTGGACATGTCTCTTCTCAGTGTCCGAATAGAAAATTTGTGGCCCTTGCTAAGGAGGTTTACGAGGAGGACAACAAACCATCTTTTGATGGGGACCTTATTTATGATGAAGAGCCTGAGGGAGATGAGTCTGAAGTAACCTTTAGCGACCATGCGGAGGCTTTCGTGATCTGGTGCAGCATGGTAACACCCAAGGTAGTAGATGAGGCAGATTTGTTGCGCACTAATATTTTCCACACTCGATGAACGACCTACGGGACGGTTTGCAATCGTATCATTGATGGGGGCAGCTATGAAAATATTGTTTCTCAGGAGATGGCAGACAAGCTGAAATTGAAGATAGAGAGCCATTGAAAACCATACAAGATAGCTTGGTTTTAAAGGGGAAATGAGGTAACAGTTTCTAAATGCTGTCTAGTTTCTTTTTCTATTGGAAAACATCATAAAGATGAGTGTGGGGCGATGTTGTGCCTATGGATGTATGTCATTTATTATTGGGTAGACCAAGGCAGTATGATAAACATGCCATACACGATTGATTTAAAAACACTTATTCCTTTATCAAAGATGGGATAAAAGTGGTTTTAGGTCCGTCTAAGAAGGAAAGTACATCCAAATCAGATGAAGGGTGTGCGAGCCTTCTTTCTTTGGCTCAGTTTATGGAGGGATCGGAGGAGTCGAGGATGGTGTTTGCAGTGGTCCAAGTGGAGGAGCAGCCTATTAAGCCCTTAGTGAGGGACTATAGTGATGTCACTCCAGATGAGCTATCAGAGGGTTTACCACCCATGAGGGACATCCAACATCACATAGACCTTGTTCCTGGGTCTAGCCTACCGAATAAGGCTGCATATAGAATGAGCCCAAAGGAGCATGATGAGTTGTAGAGATAGGTCACAGAGCTTCTACAGAAGGGGTTATGAGAGAGCATGAGCCCTTGTGCTGTCCTGGCCTTGTTGATGGCTAAAAAGGATGGGACTTGGCGCATGTGTGCGGATACTAGGGCCATTAACAAGATCACAATCAAGTACCGCTTGCCATTTCTGCGTCTAAATAATATGTTAGTTATGCTGTTTGATGCTACTGTGTTTTCAAAGATAGATTTGAAGAGTGGGTACCATCTAATATTCAAATTAGTATTTGACGTGGAGATGAGTGGAAAACTGCATTCAAACCACGAGAGGGCCTTTATGAGTGGTTGGTGATGCCATTTGGCCTCTCCAATGCGCCCAGTACTTTTATGAGGGTGATGAATCAAGTGTTCAAGCCTTTTATTGGGAAATTCGTGGTGGTATACTCTGATGATAGTCTCATGTACAACATTGGTGCACTTACGATTGGTGTTTGATTTGCTACGGGAACAACAATTGTATTTGAATCGTAAAAAGTGTTCATTCATGACAGATAGCCTCATCTTTCTTGGCTATGTTGCTTCAGCTGAGGGAATTAAGGTTGACCAAAGGAAGGTAGTAGGTATCAAGGATTGGCCTACTCCTACTACAATGCATGATGTTCATAGTTTTCATGGGTTGGCTACTTTTTATAAGGGGTTTATCAAAGGCTTTAGTTCGATCATAACACCTATCACAGATTGTCTGAAGAAGGGGGATTTGTATGGACTGCTGAAGCCGAGAAAAGTTTTCAGTTGGTGATGCAGAAGATGGCTAAGGCACCTGTGTTGGCCCTTACAGACTTTGATAGAGTCTTTGAGTTGGATTGTGATGCTTCACATGTTGGGATAAGCCAAGGTCGCCTTATTGCCTTCTCCAGTGAGAAGTTGACTGACACTTGCTGACACTATTCTACTTACGATGTGGATTTTTATGCTATTATTCAAGCCTTAAGGCATTGGCAGCATTACCTGATTCAGAGGGAATTTATTTTGTTCTCAGATCAGAAGCATTGAAGTATATTAATGGGCAACATAAACTAAATCAGCGACATGCTCAATGGGTAGCCTATTTACAGGAGTTCACTTTTGTTATTTGACATAAGGCAGGTAGTCAGAGCAGAGTGGCATATGCTTTGAGTAGAAGGTCGGCTCTATTAACTACCATGACAACTACTATTACTGGGTTTGAATTTATGAAGGATCTTTATGCAGATGATGACAACTTCAGGGAGATATGGGACCAGTGTTGCAGTGGAGTTGTTCGGGATTTTCTTATTCAAGATGGATTTCTCTTCAAAGGAAACTGTCTTTGTATTCTGACAGGTTCCCTTAAAGAAACCCTAATAGCAGAGCTTTATGGGGGAGGTCTTGGTGGACATTTCGGTCGAGACAAAACCATAGTATTGGTGGAGTCTAAGTACTACTAGCCAAAATTAAAGAGAGATGTTATGTGGTTCGAGAGGTGCCGCACCTGTCAACTGGCAAAAGGGCAACAACAGAGTACCGGGCTTTATTCTCCACTTCCTATTCCTAATGCACCTTGGGAGGATGT